AAAGTCTTTTAATCCTAACTACTTTTGTTCATGCTAACATTCTCGCTAATTTTGCAATGTCTCTTTGGTAAGTTTGTTTAGTTTGTTTAGTTTAGTTTCCAAGTACCCAAATACAGCATCCTTCCACTTAACCAAGAGTACTATAAGAAATGTTAAATATGGTTTATATTTTGATTTAAAAGACATCTGCGTGATCTGTGTCCAAAGGTGCCGGTTCTATCTCAGCTGATCTGGCCTTACAAATGTGGCGAGATCTCCGTGCAGGCCTATAACGCCATCCTCAGCCTCGGCCACTTTCTTGTTCGGCCGAATGAGGGACCTGATGGTATCCTTGTTCAAGAGAACGATGTCCTTCACAAGGCTTGCTCTAAGCGCCTTGGAAATGCTATTGAGATGCCCATTTCCGCTTTAAATGGCCTAATGGCTCACCAGCTCACTGGAATGCTCCAGGTTCGTACCTCCCTATCTTTTTATTGTAATTAAGCGTACCTAGTCCACACTAGGCGTTCCTATTGACGTGCATCTGAACACATTTTCAATTCTGCCCTTGCTTGCATGTGATTTGCTGTCGTCTATGGCCCTCATGTTTTCCCACTACGTTAGTTTGCTCGATTTTACTCCTTCAGTGCTCTTCTTAGGAACTCAACTGTGAAGTTCGTAAGATCCTTGTTTTAGGTCGGAAGCGCAGTGTTTCTTTTACCCCGCAACCTCTGGTTTCGTCTGGTTCTGTATTCCTCTATCCGTAACTCCAGCGGTTTTCCTCCCTATGAGTACATCGCATTGCTATCTATTGGAGAACGGGTTCGAGAGTTCATTTACACTTTAGGCTTAGAGCGGGCACACCTTTCTTGCAGCACGTGTATTGAAAATTTAGGCCTTTGTGGCGAAAGTTAACAGTTTGAAAAGACTTTGTTTCAGCTGCTTGATCACCTCTTGTAGTTGACATTTTCTAACTGTGTTGTTTCCTCTCTCAGTCACATTTCTCACAATTTCGGAACATGCAGCGCGTCAGACGTAAAGTAAACTTTTATTTTCAATGTATAAAATATCATTGTTTTCGTCTATCCGTTATTATCTATTTACCAGGCCTTCAACTTTCCTCTCTCCTTTTGATATGCAGCCCCTCTCTCTGCCCTCACCTCCTTGTCGCCGACGACTCTCTCAATTCCTATTTAACCTTTCTGGTCCACCAGATCTGAAACTCTATCGTCTTCGATGTCTGCCTTACCTCTCAGCGGGGGTGAAAACATTTTCCACAGAAACTTGGCCGCAGCTAGTCCGCCACGGACGCCAGCTTATGCTTACTGGGGCCCCCGTAGAAGACAGTGAGTGCTTTGCGATGTTTCCTCTCCGGCATCAGGCCATTTTACGCTTTCTTCTGGTTTGCGAAACACAATAATACCTATGCAAAATTGCACAGTCAATAGGCTTCCTGTTGATGGCGCTTGGTTTGCGTTAGTTGAGTTTGCGCATGCCC